GCTCAGACATTTCTCTACTAAGCAGACAGAGCCTGCTTCCCTGCAGGACCAAAGATGGCGGCCCTACCAGGAGCTGCGTGCTAGCTACCCAGGCTACTGGGAGGACCCGTGTCCTGGTGTATTAGCCGGGAGTTCATGAAGGAGCATGAAGAATGAACATTGCCTCTTGAATTTTCCCAAGCTCTCTGACTCAGAGAGCACAAAGACACAGGATCATAGACGTATAACATGGCCGGTGGTGGTGGGGAACGCAGGCTTGAAGATACTGCTCACAGATGTTTCCCAATAGAGTCGTTGGCTCTGCCTGGGGGAGGAGGACCGTGACAGTCACACGGGAGGAGACTGCTGAATCTCACAGGTTGACCGAGGCTTTGCCAGGCAGGTGGTGGGAAGCATGTGCCAAGCAGAGGCAACAGGACCAGCAGACGGAGGCCTTCAGCGGCACGGCCACTCCCCGGGAATTGTCCATCATGCGGATGCCGGACGATCACATGGGAGCCATTGCGGAGGGGTGTGGCCTTATCCTGCACTGTTTCAGACAGAGTATGCAGACGAGTTAGGGAATGATGTCTCCAGGACCCCATGTCTGGAGGAGATGAGTTCCTGACCTATGTACGACAACACCAATGGGAATGGAAAAATTGAGTTTGAAGATTTTATTTATTTATTTTTATGGAAAGGGAGGGAGAAAGAGAGGGAGAGAAACAACCTTTGGCTGCCTCTCACAGTAACTGAACCCATAAGCAACCCAGGCATGTGCCCTGACCGGGAGTCGAACCAGCGACCTTTCACTTTGCCCAACCAACTGAGCCACACTCGTCAGGATGGAAAATTGAGTTTAAAGAAGAGTAGAGAATCAGGTGGAGTGACAGGATTTGGGGGCTTTGAGGGATAGTTTTGAAGAACAACTGAGACAATAGTTGTGAAAGCACACTTTTTGAACACCAATATACTATAATGAGGTACCCTTACTACAACTTTTTCTAGACGCGAATAATGCGGCCCGATGCTTCCAGACGGCAGAGTCACGCTGACTGTTGGGCCAGTGGCAGTGTGGTGGCGGCAGCACCCGCTGTGCCATAAGGAGGTGGCCTTACTGTCCTTTATACTTCTCGGCCTCCCTTCAGTCTCCTTCCCGGACCGGACCATCAGTCCTGGACTCATACAACTTTGTGTTTCATAGTAAACAAGAGGCATTATGTGAACTCGCTTTTACAACCATTCACTCAAAACAGCGGACTACTGGTGGACAATTTGGAAGCTGGAACACAGACCCCACACCATCCTTGCCCAGAAGAAACGGGCTCCCAGATCAGTTAAGCCCCATCCAAAAACAAGTCGGAGACAGAACTGTGAGCAAGTGCCATGGGCAACATCAGTGTGGGGTACGAATCAGCAGATACACTTGTTGACTAGCACTAGAAAGAAATGAATAATCCAGGGTACTTGTGACCCAAAGAGAATCCCTTTGAAAAAGGCCCGGAGTTCCAAGCTGCTCCTGTAATCCCTGCTCGGCCAGCCCCCGCCTGGACCAGGGCCCTTCTGCTCCTTCAGCAAGAACCTTTCTCATTTTTGTCTCATGGGTGAACAGTCCTGTTACACACCTCATTCATAAACCTTTTTATTGCAGGAGGTTGTATCAATAACTGATGAGTCTGAGACCACCATCACGCCATCGGCAGCATGACCTGATTTGGATGCAACACTGAGATCCTTGCTGTGAATACTTGCAGTGTCGCTCACCTCCTGGGCCAGCTTTGCTTGTCCTGGTCTATGGCTATGGACATTTCCATAACATGGCAAGGCCTGTGCTTTTCCTTCCGTCATAGCTCCTTAGTGATAATGTTCTCTCACCCCTGATGCTATTTATCTCACATCCCACAGCTGTAAGCCCATGGAGGACAAAGTGGTTGTCAATATTAGGTGCTGGCAGGGGTTGGGGAATGCCTCTGTGCCTCCCAGGCACCCCTTTTCCACGTCTCTGAGCTTCATGGGAACACAGATTCACAGTGACAGTGGAGCAAGGGAGTCTGAAGAACAGGTGAGAAGGACAATGCTGCCATAGGACAGCCAGCTTATCGATGACAAAGTTTGCCCTCAGCTGCATACTTGTTTCTGATCTAAGATGCTCCTTGGCTGACACCCAAGGGTATAAGATACCTTGGTCCCACTTTCTGCTTGCCATGGAGGTAGACTCAAGCTTATCACAAGAAAGAATCCCCTTAATTTTCTGTATAATTATAATAAAATGCTCCATGAATAGAACACACTTTTCAAAGATCAGTTTTCCTTACTAGAGTTATCAAGCTTGATTTTTGTGTTTGCTTCCAGTCTGGCTGACACTTTTCATGTAGGGAAAAATAATATTCTCTCTCTTTTTAATAAAACGTCCCTTGTGGCCACTGAATGGTAGTCTTCCATTCTTTTACTTTTCAATTCAATTTTTATTCAAAATTCTCCCTGTTCATTTTAGTCATTTATTTGTTTTGGGGTACCCAAATTCTCTTCTGAGCATCTCAGAAGGACTATTTCTGGCAAAGCTTTAACCAATGCTACTGTTCTTTAGGTTTCTTTTTTTTTTTTAAAGATTTTATTTATTTATTTTTAGAGAGGGAAGGGAGGGAGATAGAGATAGAGAGAAACATTAATATGCGGTTGCTGGGGGTCATGGCCTGCAACCCACGCATGTACCCTGACTGGGAATCGAACCTGCGACACTTTGGTTCCCAGCTGTTCTTTAGGTTTCAATCTCCCACCTAACAACTCGGCAAGACCAGCGTTGACGAGTTCACGTTATGTTTCATGGCAGAAAGAAGTACTTCCAAGTGTTGTGCTGAAGCAGAATCTCTTACCTGTGTATGCAAAACAGAGTCTTTGCTCTTGAAATGCACATCAGAATGGGGTGAGCGACAGTGGCAGCAACACAAAGGGACTTCAGGTGACCCGTAGAGTGAGTCACTGCTTGGCCACCGACTTTGCAAGGAGAGTTGGCGAGGCAAAGACTGACGACCCGTGCATGTAATCATGATGGTTAGGAAAGGATTTAGCAAACACACCAGTAGATTTCTGTCCCTTTTAAAAAGTATCACTTAAAAACATGGCATTAAAATTCTTTAATGGTTTCCCAAACCATTAAATGAAATTTAACCATGAGATGGAATTTCATTGGTAAGGAGGAATGAAAACAAAAGTCTCTGATCTAATGAACTCCAAATTAAATTCAACACTTTCCCTTAACTCACTAGAAATGATCTTGAGATTAAGAAAATTTTAAATCTGTATACCTATTATGGGGATGGGATGAATCATCGCTATATCACGTAAATCCCAGCAAGACACTTGGTCAAATTACTTCATCTTACTCATGACCCTTTTATCTCACCAGTTTTGTGAAGTTTCCTTTTCTATTTTTTCATCCTCACCCCAGGACTTCCCCCCCTCCCCCTTTGCTTTTAGAGAGGAATGGGGAGAGAGAAACCAACGGGAGAGAGAAGCGTGGACTGGCTGCCTCCTGTACATGCCCGGGCTGGCGCAAGCACTGAATCTGCAACCCAGGTATGTCCCTCGACTGGGAAACAAACACGCGACCTTTCAGTTACAGGATGACTCCCCAGCCGAGCCACAGCAGCCAGGGCGATTGCCTGCTTTCTGAGTTAGCCGGGTTGAGATGCAATCAATGCACTCCTACTGCATGATGAGGACTGCTTTGAAACTATGTAATTACAAACCTCACTTGCGGATTGTGAATTGTACTCACTGTCATAAATGCCATTAGCATGGTCTCAAATTCTTTCAGAACGGGGCGGGGGGCGGTAAAAATGCCTTGTAAATAAGTCACGCTGCTATGCGTCTGCTATTGATTACCTGCAGCAATGACAGCCTTGAATGGGCTCCCGAACAAGACGCAGAACCTGGGAAAGTGCCAATGTCTTGTGGATCTAAAGGAATTTTCAAGAAAAAGGTTTTTGTTTTTGTTTTTTTTAATCTATGGATGAGAGTGTCAGATTTTAGAATCATGCAATTGCAGGCTGAATTTTATAAATGGGTACAGACCTAATCTGTTGTAGAAGTATTTTGAATAGCTATTTACTCTAAATTTTATTGCTCTCTACAGAATGAATTTAAAATACTTGATAAAGATGTTCTGAAGCCTAATGTGACCATTTCTGCTCTGTGTATTCCCAGTGTCCCCCCCCCCCGCGCCCCACACAGAATCCCTTCCCTAGTACCTCGTCAGAGTCAGCAGATGGTAGGCCCACTGAAAACTGATGTATATTCTTTCTCATCCAGGCAGCTCACCCTGACGAGACTTTGGTCACATACTTTTCAGTTCTAAATATACACAAAAAAATCTTTTTGTGATTTTATTTTTAATAAAAGGGCTCACTGCTCTTTTAATGTACAGTGTAACCCCCATATAAGCAATTTTCTTTGGCATAAGTCTTTGGCATGTGGACACTCATGTCTCTAATGATAAACCCTATTCTTCTGCTGGCATCCAGGCTTGATTCACTAATTTAAATCCATTTTAGCCATTTTCATCAAGTTTCTTTGTTAAATCTCTTTAGACAACCAACATGGTTTGCTATTTTATAAACTACAAATCTGAGAGGGACAGAAAACTGCCTGTGTCCCTTTAACAAATTTAGAAGCGCCAATCAAGTTCTTGTTTATAATTATCTAAAAAAAACATATGCTTTGATCATTATAATTTCCCTGCTATGCATTTCTGGATGTTTATAAATGAACTGAATAGCGGTGGGAAAAGATCCCAGTGGCCCTTAACAACTACAATAACTCTCTGTAATTTGCTGAAAGCAAGTGGTATTCATTTACTCTTTTTCTCGAAGTTCGTGACCAAAGCAAACAGGTAGATTTTTGTTAAGAATCTTCAGGTTGTTCGATCTAAAGGCTTTGAAACCTGATCAATGCATACGTCAGACTAAAGAAATAAGCTTTTGAAACAAAGGCATGGGCAAAGAAGCTGGCTGTGCACAAACTACGAGTTCAGTCCTTCTGTTTATTTTCACACAATGGTTAGCAGGGTTCACAAGGAGACTGCAAAGAGTGATTACTAGCATTGGGACTTACGTATGAAGATGCAGTGAAGTAAAAAGAGAATTTAGGGATAATGAAAGGGCACCTCTCTCTCCCTCCCTGGAATCTGGTTAGTAAACAGGGATATGCAGCTACAGGGTTCCACTCTGGGTGTTGCTGGTTCCCAGAAACATTCTCCCTGCAGCTCCCCAAGAGTAGCTGTTAGTACACTGTGTGGCAAATGATTAATTCTGTTCCCTGGGACTTTGCAGGCCTGCTTTTAAGTACGATGGGCTTCAGTCTTGCAATGGAAAAAGTACAAAAGTCACCTTAAGTCTTACAGCGCAGCAGCTTTAATAGTCCACACTGAAACAGGCAGGACAGTTTTGTAGGTCAACATTCAACGCCATCTTGCCCGACTTCACACGCTTCTGCTTAGAGCGTGTCCAGCTCTCTCCCGTCCCCTCCCTCACAAGCTGCGAGTCTACAGCAGTATTCCTAAAGTGCGTTTCTCAGGCATTAAAAACAGCGCTGTGATCGCTCCCCGACAGCCAGTTCTTAATCAGGGCCCGGCTTCCTCTGGAGGGGCTGCCCCACCCCAGGTGAGCTCCCATCTCTTGGAGAAGTGCCTCTCTCACTCCCACTGGTGATGCAAGGAGTGGAGGCCACAGAATAGTTTTTTGAAGATAATAATTATGCCAACTTTCTCTGTGACGGGTGTCTTCTCTTACTGCAAATAAATATTTCATGCATCCTCGAGTCATGAAATATTATCAACTCAATTGACACTTTCATTTCCAGGAAAATGAAATCGCAGAGGCCTTGGGTGGATATGCTGAGTCTGGTGGGATGAGACCCCAAGTGCAGGGGCAGGCCAGAATTCTTGGGTTTAGAGCTGGGGGTTGGGAGGCATGGTGGGAAGAGAGACAGTCAGCTCTGGCTACTGCTTGTCGTCCTGGGGGTCACCGGGGAAGCCCGCCTCCTCCTGGGACCTGACTCCCTCTGGGAGCAGAGTGGCGCGAACTTTCCTCTTCTCCTTAAAGCGCCCAGAGCGCGAGATCTTCAAGTTGCGGCGGCTGTGGCCCGATTTCTCCACGCAGAACTTGTCTGGCTTGTGGGGCTCCCCGGTGCTCGAGAGGAGATTGGGGTGTTGATTCTCCTGGGAGCTGTTAGTCCAGTCTGGGCTCGGCGGGGCGGGAGGTGCTGGCGGTGCTGGCCGTGCCGGTGGTGCGGGTGGTGCGGGTGGTGCAGGCTCCGCGGGGGCAGGCTGGGCTGGAGGCTGCATCCCCACTGTGGCATCCTTGCTTTTCTTCCTGCTGTTCGTTAGCGATTTCCACCAAGGGCCAGAGCTGCCCGTGGCGCTGCTGTCGGCCATGGCCCACCGCTGAAGGGCCTTGGACGCCGCGTGTGGGTAAGGGCCTCTGTCGCAGCAGTCTCTCTGTCTTGGTGGTCTCCGGCGTCCCCTCTGCTCCTTCTCCGCTTTACGCAACCAGGCAGCTGGGTGGGATCCCAGGCGGTGGTCTGCGCTGGGGAAGAAAACAGAACTTGGTTACTGGGTTTGTCGAACTCTTGCCTCCGACCCCTCAATCCCTTTTCTTCTCTTTCGCTCGGGGCGACATCGGATCCCCCGAGGTCTTAGCGCTCGGAGCCGGGAACCCAGAGATACGCAGCCCTCAAAAGGCACCACGGCGCCCGCAAGGGCACAGGCAGATGAGTGGCCCCCAGGGCGCCACCGTCTGGTCACAAGACAGTCTTGGCACTCCTTGGCCTCAACTGCAGGCAGAACAGCGGTGGTCAGCGCCCGAGGGCCACCCTGGGGATGTTCCAAGGCATCTGGATTAACTGGGTCTGAGAGGGGAAATGGCCTGTCCTGCCACTCAGCCTGATTGTGGATGGATGACCCAAGGTGACCCACCGGGTCCAGAACGGCACCTGGACCTTTGGTGAGCACCTGGAAGGGAGGGGGAGCAGAAGCAAGTGCGTGCCCCTGCAGATAACCAATGACTATTGGATGCCTGGCCGAGGTTTTTGCTCCACGGACTTCTGTCCCGGGATCCTTTTCGATCTCATTCTTCAGGGTGCTTTACAACCCAGGCAGAGTGAGGGGCAAGCTCATGGTGTTTTATTTTGTTTCCTTTAAATTCTGTGTTTACCAAATGAAAACAAAAATTCTGCTTTCGACATAACTTCTGTCTCGTGGCTTTCCGAGGAGTGTGACTAGACTTAACTCCCCTGGGAACCCGCCAGCCTGTTCTTTCTTCTATCCCCCAGAGACCAATCTTGGCATCTCTTCGAAGCCACTCCCGGAGGGTGGTTGCCACCAGGCCAAGCAGCAAATGTCCTCTTCCCTTAGTGCGGCATTAAAGCAAGCCCCAAGTCTGTTTACACTAAGCAACTAAGTCTGGGGAATTTTAGTTACAAATTAAAGGCTTCTGTTCTTTCCCTTGCGCAATTCCCTCCTGCAAGGAGAAAGCGCCCAGGAGCTCCAAACCAATTTGCGTCTCCCCAGCTTCAAAAAGCGCACTCTAGGGAGCGACAAGGGTGCTATCAGCACTTGGGGTCCTAATAATCTCGGCAGCCAGAGTCCTCTGCTCACTCTCTGTGCTGGGTCTGTCGGGAACCACCTCCAAGAACGCACAGCTAGCGCTGCGGCTCCTTCCCACCCCACGCGCCCAGCGTTCCCGGCATTTGCCTGTGCGCTGCGAAACTTCAGCGGACTTGGCTGCTGGAGGTTGTGGTCCCAGAACCCAGGAGAAAAAGTCTGAGCTCCTACGCCAGGCAGCCTGACGGCCCGCCTGGCCTTCCCGGCGAGCAGAGACCCTGGCACCGCCTCCTCCTCAGGACGCCCCGAGGGCACGCTCCAGCAGCGACTTGAAAACAATAGGGAAAAAATGGCCAAAAGTTCTTTCCGTACCCACACCCTCAGGCAGTTTGCCGTTGGCTGTGCAAACATCCTGCTCCCTCCACGGATGGAAAAGCACCCCCAAGTTATTCACTGCTGGTGGTGGCGGGGTGTCCTGATGCTACCCTCTGCCTTCTCCCTACGCTTCTCCGCTTCTCCGCAGTCAACTTGTGCGCACAGAAGGGCTTTGCCCGAACTTCTCAAAGAAAAGTTTGCAAATTACTCAGTTACACGGAGCGCCTGTAGGTCGCACATTCTCCTGGAGCACGGGGGTGGAGGAGCCCCCCGCCCCCCAGGGTGACACCCCGAACAGGCTCTGTCTGGGCGGTTGTAGAACCAACCGGATCGCTCACCTGCTCTGCTCCCTGCTGATCCGCGTCTGATCTGCACCCCGCTGGCGAGCGAGAACGGGAAAGGGGCGCGCTCAGGGAAACCGGGATCCCGTGCGGTGTCCCTCCGCGCGGTCCTGGGAAGGTCGGCTTCTTTCTGGAAGGTATGCTAGCAGTCCGGCTAAGCCGATTGCTGCTGGTTGTCTCCAGCTTCTGCCGGCTGCAGCGGCGGCCCCGGGCTCGCAGTGTGGCGGGCTCCAGCCGGAGGGGCTGGGCTCGGTGCCCCAGATGAAGAATACCCAGGGCTGCGCTCTCGGTGAGTAGCCGTTCGCTCTCGGGAGCGTCCCACTCCCCTGCCAGCGCCGCCTGGGAGCCGCCAGGAAATGGGATCTCAGCCGCTCACTTTGATGCTTTGACTCTTCCTACGCGTGAGGCCACGCGGGAAAAGACATCTGCCCACCTGCTGGTCATTCGCCAAGTGATTGGAGAAACCTGAACCCCAGGCGGTGAAGGGGTGGGGTAACCCAGGAGGCAGCCACCGCTGCCACAGGTGCAGGTAGGAACTTCGCGTTTCCGCCCTCCCAGTGACGAGATTGGACCAGGTCGCAGGCGTGGCGCCAGCTTTGCGGTGTCTGATTGGAGAACGGCTGCGCTGCGCTCTGCTCGAGGGTCCCACTGTTTCTGCGAGGAGAAACCGAGGCCGGGAGACAGTGGCCGTAGGTGGGCTCCGGTGGCTAAATGTCACTGCAGCTCTCCCTCCTCCCCTGTCCTGATTTCTGTTCCCCCTTCCAATTCCGGGTCCCCAACCATGGCCGCTCAGCTGCGATCTCGAGTTTCGTTAACTCCCTGGAGCTGCTTCATATCGGGGCAGAATGTTGCAGTGTGAAGCGCTCTTAGTTGAAAGGCCGGGATATTAACAAGGTGGCTGTGTGCCAGCAGGCGCTGTTCCAAGCGCTTCTGTGGATTAACTCACTTATTACTCACAGCAACCCTAGGAGGTAGGTACTATTATAATCCTCGCTTGACTGGCAAGGAGACCCTTCCCGGGAAGCTCCAGTGGTTGCCCAGGGTCGCAAGGCTGGTAAGAGGCAGAATTAGATCTGAACCCAGGAAGTCTGACTCTAGCTCCCAGAGTCACAACCTGCTTGCCTTGGGCTCTTTAAGACACTACCTGAGAATGGGACTTCCCTCAGGTCTCTTCCAGAGCACAGCCACCCCACCTGGCATGTAGGGATCCAGCCCCGGTGGGTGCTGCTCTGAAATAGTCAGAGTTCAAGAGGCTTGAGGGCATTTTCACTAAAGAAGGGAGAGGTGCAGTCTGCTTCATCTTCCAGGATGCTCTGGGTTTTTTTGATTTTTGTTTGTTTGTTTTCAAAGAACTATTTTGACTTGAGCTCATGTATAATTCCTCTGAAGGCTGAGCATGGGGCAATGATGGCTGAGCATCTCTGTGCTGGTGACTTCCTAAAGCATAAAAGCAGTGGAAGACAGAAGTAGCAGAAAGAAATTTGTACAGAGTATTTCAATGCATGACATATGATAAAAGTATGAATATATGGTTAACTGCTTAGTTTAGCCTCCTTGCATCTTTGACAGGCACCGCGGCGTGTATTTGGAAGTGATACATTTCCATATATTACTGAGACTCGTTTTAGGGAGTCAGCGTCTGATGCAAACGCTGGGACTGAGCGGAGATGGGCCACCAGCTGTGAGGGAAGGACGGGCCGAGTCCTCTTAGTGCATCTTCTGTCTTTGTACAGAAGATGTCAGTGGACCAAGGAGGAAGGCATCGTCACCCTAGGAAGTTGTGGAGCTGGGTGGTTGCATTGTTGACTCAATGGCCGAAAGAAAAGACATTTAAGGAAAAAAAAATTAGTATTGCCAAAGGGCTGGCCCCTCATCTAGTGAGACTTAACAAAGGGGCCAGTGTTTCCTTAATAAACGATCACCTACTAACTGCTGAAACAAAAAAACATTCATTTTCTTCTACCCCTCCTATTTATAGCGAACACATTTGATATGTCCGTTATGTTTTGTTAACCTAACGAAAGCACCTTCCCAATAAGCCTTGCACGCAATAAAACTTAAATGATGTCATGAACACAAAAGAAAACCCAGGCAGAAGGGACTGGGGAGGTTGAGGACGGGTGAGCGTTCCAGACGGAGGGAACAGCGTGCGCGGGACCCTGGAGGCGTGCAGGAGCGTAGGGTGTCCGAGGAGCATTGAAAAGGCCCGGAGTGCACCTGAGTGCACAGGGCGAACTCAAGCTCTGCAGGATATGAAGCGGGAAAGGGGGGTGTTGTGACCAGGCCATTCAGGACCTGGTCACTCGCGCTAAGAGGTGTTCCCATAGTGCACTGAAGAGGGAATGACACGATAAGATTTGCAAGGAAAACAGCGCTGTAGTTGTCAGGAGCGGATGGTAGAAGGGGCAGGAAGGGCCTGCAGGGAAACCAGGCAGGGACTGTGGGGGGCGGTTCGGTGGGATATTTCGACGGCTTGTGCTAGAGTGGTGTCACTAGTGAGACAAAGGGAATTGAATGCATGCAAAAGAGATTCTGGAGGCAGAAACCCCAGGGCACTATTTCACTTACTTTATACAAACAGACTTTAACTACAGGCTTAAAAGGGAAACCCTTTCGTAGCCTTCCTGGTGACCAGGAGCATCCGTGTGCTCCAGTTCTGACATCTGGGGCTACAGAGAAGACTCGTGGAAATGTTCCTTCCCCGGATAAAAGGCAGGACCTTCTAAGAGAGCATCCTTTGCCATACCCTTGAGTCTTACATTTAAGCACAGGGTGAGGTTGTGATGCCTGGGGCTGCAACTGGGAGGCAACAGGCCTGGGAATAAAAACCAGTATGCTGGGGATGATGGCATGGAAGTGAGAGAAGGGTCCAGGTCCTTGATGACACCGATGAGTGCCTGAAAGAGTGTCCACACTGCTAGTTCAGTGAGATGACACATATTTCTATGAGGGACGGATTTAAACACAGTTTTCTCTCACTGTCGCAAAAAAAAAAAAAAAGATACAGTCTGAGTTATAGCAAAAAGATGATATTGCCCAAAGTGGGGAAAAAATGTCATGTTGTCACATTTTTTTTTCTGACCAATCTAAAAAGTTCTTTATAGAAGGAGTATTTAGTGAGGAGTTGAAGTTAGGAGGAGGTTTGCAGAGGCATCTGTACAGTGAGGCCTGGAGTGACAGCAACAAGAAGATGAAGGTGTGTGCACAGTGCATGACGAACATGCTGGGTGAGTCCAAACGGTGAGAATCATCAGAGTATCGGAGATAGCACAGAAAGTTGAGTTTTAAAGGCAGAGCTTTAAATCAAAACAGCTAAGACAATTTTTCTTTATTTTTGAATCTAGAACAATTTTTTTTAAAGATTTTATCTATTTATTTTTAGAGAGGGAAGGGAGGGAGAAAGAGAGAGAGAGAGAAACATCAATGTGCGGTTGCTGGGGGCTGTGGCCTGCAACCCTGACTGGGAATCGAACCTGCGACACTTTGGTTTGCAGCCCGCGCTCAATCCACTGAGCTATGCCAGCCAGGGTAGAACAGTTTTAATCTATAAAAATTGTCATAACCTCTCCCATGTTAAAAAGAAACAACAACAAAAAACCCAAAGCGAAAAGCAAGCTCACACAAAGAGGGTCAGTGTCCGACAGATGGAGTTGTTTTCTGATTCTGTGGAGCCGGGAGCCCCACTGCCGGGCTGCGTAAAGGCTCCGCAGGCTGGTCCTGCACTTCAGGGTCGGCGAGCTGGGCCTCTACGGTGCAGACACATTTCGAGTTGATTCACCTGTCCAGTGGATAGTAGGCGACTTTTCATGTTACAGAATTTGCTTATACTGGTCGGTGCTTATATTTCTTAATAATATTTCATTTTTGTCATTTTCTGTCTTTCAAAAACATATTGATGGTTTGAGTAAAGATACTTTACATTTTTCTTTTCTTTTTTGTTTTTTAGATTGTTTCTTTTTCAGGTGACCCTTCAAGTGGAATAGAGGATTACACTCAACAACAATGTGGAATGAATTTCTAGAGAGCAGGGCTTGCATACTAGAAATTAAAATTAAAACTTTAGAGATTATATTCGGCATTTGCAATGCTAGCAGACCTAGTATTGTGTAACTGTGATCAGTATTTGGGTGTTAGTCCTTTTATTCTTTTTGCCCCATTTTCATATTTACTCCTGCCATCCTCTCCCTCCCCTCCCCTCCCCTCCCCTCCCCTCCCCTCCCCTTCCCGTCTTCCCCCTCTTCCTTCATCCCTTTCTGTTCTGGACTCTCCCATTCTCTGAAAACTAGGTATGTAACCCCCATGACCTTTTCCTCTGTAGTCACCAAGGTACTGTTAATTTAACATTTCTTGTCTCCTTTCTGTGTATTCACATCAGTGTTGTTGGATTGAGTTTATAAAATTTCTTCTTTATTGATATACCATTGGCTAATACTATATATAAGTTTTAGCACCCATGCCTGAAATCGGAATCTATTTTTTGTAGCATCTCATTCTGTACCATGGCAGGGTAACACGAATGCATCTCTAGAAGTACAACAATTATAGTTACAAGATACTACTAATTATTTCAGTTTTTTAAAAACTTTTTTTATTGTCGTTCAAGTACGGTTTTCTGCCTTTCCCCCGTCACCCCTAATTATTTCAGTGTTACACTTGACGCACGCCGGGCTGACTGGCTGCCCCCTGAAATGCAGTCCACACCAGCTGACTCTTCCTCACTCCCTGTCGCTGCTCCCTCGGGGGGCTCGTTTCTTGGTATTCTTGGATATTATTATATGCTCCTCATTTTTCTTAAAATATTACTTGTAGGAAAATCTAAGACCTAAGACAAAGGTAATTCAATCTGGAAAGGATTTTGAACAGCTTAGGAGTACTATCAGACAGGACCACCCACCTCGAGTTCATGGCTGGAGGATGTTTTTGGATGATGAAAACAAGAAACCCCTGTGAGCAGCTGCCCTTCGTCACAGCCTCTGTGGACAAGTCCATTTGTTCTTTCCTGCTCTGCCCCGCCCCCCTTCTTTTCTGTCCTCAGGCAACCTACCTGTCCAGGCAGGCCTGGGGGCGGGGCATAGGCGTACCTTACCTCTGAGCAGTGGTAACCTTGAGGGTCCGATCCTTTGGGGCCTGCACTGAACAGGAGAAGAATCTTCCAGTCATCGCTCTCCTTGAGGGGAACCCTCAGCTTAAAATTCTGTCCCCTTTGCTCCAGGAGGCTAGCTAGCAAAACTAAAGTTGTTTCGGTGCCCAGTTGTTTTCAGCGGGAGATTTCATCAATATAATTGAGCCTGCCACCGACAGGAATGGTGCGTGCATTTTATATCATGAATTGTTTGCTTGGTGTGGTGTTTGTCCCCTGAATTAGAGTATGGTCTTCTATTTATTTGCTACACAACACTTCCTATATACCACATACAGTTCTAATAGCTTTATAAATATTAACTCACTTAATCCTCCTAAAAGCCCCCTGAAACAGGCACTATTATTATTGCAGATGAGGTAGCGGAGATATTACAAACGTAAGTCACTTGCCCCAGGTCACACAGCTTCAGAACCAGCATAGAGCCAGCACGTGACTCCAGGAGGACTGGTCTCAGAGTCCAGGGACCCAGCTGGCCCTTGTGCTGCGTGTCTCCCTGAGAGCACGAGGACGTGTCACTCCTGAATCTGGAGGACCTGGCCGGCTGCCCAGCAATAATAGCTTTCAGGATTGTCGACTGACTGACCGTCCAATGTACAGGTGTGAACGCTTTGACTTGTATTAGCATTGGCTTGTAAAATGAAATGTAATGAAAGTGGCAGTGAAATAATACCCTG